TCTCGAGCTCTTCATTGTTACTCTGGGCCAATACTTGCCAGACTACTCCACGGATAGCGTTAGGAATACCACTGGCAATGGCTTTGTTCAGTTCCTCGGCGCTGGTCCGCTGAACAACCGCCGGGCCTTCGTAAACAACGGACTGCCAGAGATCCCAGTCTACCTGGGAGTCTGACATGTCCGAGGGTCCAGCCGATACACCAGATACTGTTCCTGGTGCCAGCGCCGGGTTCGGGGTCGTTGGGAGAGGCGATTTGGGGGCTTGATCAGCTCCAAGCTCCTTGTCGGTTCCATTCTGGGCGGGAGGTGTGATTAAACCCAATCCCTTGGGGGGCGGCACAGGTTTATCGTCGTCGGATGGCAGCGTGACGCCGGCCTCTTCCCGTAGTCGAACCATTTTGAAGCGGTCCTTCAGACTGTGTCGCGGGATGGCGCCCTCTTTCTCTTCGTCTAACCTGCCCAGCGACATCTCTGGGTTACTTGTTAACGTTGCGATGGAGCTGGCTGTGTTTCGACGAGGAGAGGCCTGTGGAGGCGGTGAGGTCTCCTTCTCCTTGCTTGTGCTGTTTCGAGACAGCCAGGAGAAGGGGCTGGTGAGCTTCCTGGTCGGGGGGCCAGGGGGTGGTGGTAGGGCGGCAGAGGAAGCGGTTTGCGGTGGGGGTGCAGCTGGGACTACGGGAGATTTGGCAGGCGATGGCTCGGCTGGCGGCGACCATGGCATGGATGGGAGGGCGCCGGTGATGCTGCTAATGGATATTTTCTTGGGCGGCAGTGGCTTCTCTTCGACCGGGCTAATGGCTTTCGTTTCTTGGGTTTAAAATTAGCATTACTGTCAGACGTCAATTAATTCATGCAGTCAAACAACAAACCTGGTTCCTCATGTGGGGCAGGGTGGTCGTCGTCGAGCTTGACGTCGTCCAGATTTGAGGTATTGGAAAGTCGATGGGATACGGGGGAAGCTTTGCGCTTGATATCCACGTCCTCATGGTCGCTCACAAAGTCCTCGTCGACAAAGTGATCGTCTGGTGTTGGTGAAGGCGGAGCTGCTGGTGCTTCCACCCTGTCCTCTTCAGTGTGCTCCTCCTTTTTCGGGGATTCAGGGTCCGTTTCCTCGGCGGGTGGTGGTTTGGAGACGGAGGGCGTTCTCTGAGTAAGAGAACGCACCTCAGCTACCTCGGCGACATCGACAACGGCATCTTCGAAGGCATCCTGCTGCTTATTCGGTCATGTCAGCGAGTGGTTCTTCTCCTGTTTGCACTGCGGTTGCGGCATGTGGTCGAGCTTGGAAGGCCCAAGCAGGTATGTGTGCATCAAGGGAGGATGAGGGGAGCGTTACATTCTCCTTATCAGAGTCGGAGTCGGAGTCAGTCGAGAGTCTCTTCTCCTTGGTCTCTTTGGTCTCCTTGGTGACTTCAGGAGAAACGGTCGCGACAGGCTCGTCTGGCTGGGACATGGCGAAATGAAGAATCGTAGGTCAACTTGCGCTGACCTATGTGGGTGTGTGCGGTATGGTGATATAGCTTGCGTCCAGGTCGAGGTCGGACTGTTTAGAGGACCTAGTTGGTGTCCATGGAGATGGGGGGGGGACTGCAGCACTAGGCAAATCTGTAGACTGTGTCGTCTGTGCTGCTGAAGAACACCTTGTGATACGGGTGCTGCAGTCTGGGTCTCGTAAGGTATGATGCAGGGTTGGTTGCTGGGAACTGTTTTCGTCGTTGTGTGTGTGGTTGTTCGTCTCTGAGCTTGTCAGGACGGAAGACGGGGAATCGAGAAGGCGAGTAGGTCAAGGTCGAGGGTCGAGGATTGACAGTCGAGGATCGGTTGTGGCGCGCAAGTCGTGCCTCTTTCTCTCCCTTTTTTTTCTTTCCTATTTCCTGGCTGGGGGGGCACCGGGCATGGGGGGATGGGATGGGGAATTGAATTGAATGAATGAAGCTGCCCGAGCCTCACCGCAGATGGGGGGGACCCCTTTCAGATGTATCTTTTCTCTGGTTCAATGTGACACAGTACTTAAGCTAATCCACCTACCTGAATGGGACCTGGAAGTAGACCCCCGAACGGTGGCTGAGAATACTCGAGTCCCGTCCGTATTCGCCCAAGTAATCGACCCTCAGCACTCCTCAAGGTCCACCACAGACGAACGTTCAACTCTAGCGTACGGAGTCCAGTCAACTTTTGGGGGCCAGGGGGAGGCAAAAGGTGAGGGACCGGGCCAACCACTGGTAGCTTAGCGCGCCGCTGCGGAACGGGATCGCTCTCTGTTTCGGGGGGGCTGCACGAGGGGGGCGTCTTGCAAAGTTGCAAGTCTGGATGCCGTGAGTTCCTGAGTTCCTCACCCGGAGCGCAGGACAGTGGACTTGCCAGCCCCAAATGCCATCAATGACAGGGGGCTCTCCTCTGGACATGCCAGCCAAAAGGAAATTGCTGGGATCGACACGGCAGGGAAGCTGATGTTTCTTAATGATTGCCCACCACCTCCCACACCTTTTCCAGCCTCTTCAACGCCTTTTGCTGCCTCTGTCACTCTCGCTAAGTCACTCTTATCAGGTGCGTATCCAGAAAGACATGTCAATATGCGATAATAATATCAGATACGAAGGCACTGTCCCAAAGCTTTCTATCTTGGGACGAGGAATCTCCAATAGCATCTCGTTATCCGTTTTGGGAGCTTCAATCTCGTCAAAACGAGAGCTTGAATTGCCCTTTCTGAGTCATCCCGATCCTCGTCCGATCTTTGGAAGTTTGGGGCATCCTTTACCTCATCATCTCATGTGAGCAATAGCTAAGAATGATATGAACTTACTGTTCAGCCGTCGCTACACAGTATTATTTGTTTATCTGCCATCTTGGCTCTTTGTTTTGTGGATGTGTGCGCGTCTTCCGAGACGACCTTGTCTTTAAAGAGTTTCGTTCAGTCCAACAGCCGCTGCCCCTGCAGCACAAGTTTCTTGGATGGCTTGGAAAGTTGGACTGGCTTGATGGTTGGCCATCCGAGGCAAAGCACTTGTGTGAGGTGGTTACTTATTCAGTACTTGCTCTTTACCACTGTTTCGCTGTGTACACTGAGTAGACTCTTGGTAGCGCCAGCCTTTCCCCGTTGGAACGTTATGATCTGCGCATCTCTCGCGCCGTTGCAATCGGGGGTAGATCTTTTCAACCCCTGGTGCCCTTCCCCCTTTTTCCAACTCTAAGAAGGCCAGCCGCCCGCCCGCAGACCCGGCGTTACGCCGCCTGTTTGTTGGTCGGGTTGCACCCGGGTTCGGGGGACAACGGCACCGAGGCCGGTTTCCTCACTCATCGTCGGGGTTCAGTAGTCACTATGCTTCTGATGCCTTCAGGTCGGGTTCGGTCAATTTGATCCGAATGTTAACATTGGCAGCTAGGCATTCATACTGGGTCTTCCTGGGTCTCAAATGGCTTGTCTGGCATGCCTGGCACGCTTGGATCCTATTTTTACCAACCTCGGACCAAGCACCGGTTGGTGTCTTGGTGTGGATGAACTGGAATGCAACCCAGGCCTTTTATATCGGCTGCCCCAAGTCTTCTGTGCAAGCTGAGCCACAAGCATAAATGTCGCAGGTCGCGGGACTCGTCGTAATGAGAACCTGATGAAAACAGATGGGCAGGACTCATCACATTTGCGACTTGACGTTTGATATTTTCGCAGTGCTCTACTTTCGATGTCGATTCAAACACTGTCCATTCATCCCTCACTTGCCTTAAAAAGACACCGCTTAATGTCACTTCTGATATATCGTGCTCGAGACGGGGAGATCGTTGTTTTGCCCGGAGAGTTCAATCTGAAGAGCCAGATAGATACTCTGGTATGCATTTTCTCAAGCCCTCTATTGGAAAATGAGATTTGAGGCCCAGCGTAAATCAACATCTGCCCGGTCAATTGAGGCTTTAAAGCCCCAATACCTTACATTGACACGTGCATTCTCGGCAGACCAGCCACGTGGAGGAGCGACAGCCTCTGGAAATCAGCATGCCATGTGTTGGCAGTGACTGAGTTGTTTGACGTGAGCTAGAAGTGCCTTCCGGCCATCACAGGTCTATTACGAGAGGAGAGCAGTTGTTAGAGTTCTGCGTGAGGAATCTGTCGAGGAAGGCATTACTTCCCAAAAGGCGATGGAGAAATTTTCTTTCAATCTACCGCTGGCCAGACCCTCCGACTTTTGCGCATCATCAACACTGCACACGTTTATTGACATTGTGAAGTGGGGATAATACTGTAGTCTAGTAAGGAGATCCAGTCTTTAGAAGCCCCGTTGCTAAGGTATCAAGAGTCCACTTGTTTGACGCTGGATGCTGTCATAAATCTTCAGTACGTAAAGTGCCATCATGTAAGGAGATGAAATTTTTCCTTTGCCAAATGTACATTCGCGAAGGAACCTTATACAACCTTCGTGTACCAGCATGAGTAAGATTGGTGATTGGGCAAAATGAAATGTACATTATCTTGCGGATTGTAACTCATTCATGATCTGATTGTGTTGACTTTGTGGTAGGCATCAGAACAGCATTACGACTGTGTTGGCCTGCCTGCCTTGCCATGCCTTACCTTAGGTAATGGAAGGTAAAGGCAGAAACTGGTTCCAGAAGCGAGTGGAATATTAAGATTTATTAGGTACCTACGGAGTACTGTATGGAAGGTCACATCTGCCCGGTCGCCTTGCGGCGCGGTACGTACCTTTGACAAAGATGCTGTTGATGCCGCCTCCACACTACCGCCTGCGTCCCGCCAACAAAATCTAAGTTGAACCGTGCACTCTCCTCCCCGCTATCCTCTCCTCCCGTCATAGGTAAGGTAGGAACGAAGATAGACAAACAACCGCGGTCACTGTGTCTACAGATAATTAGCACTGCTCATTATGTGGATGAACACGGGTAAAAGACAGTGCGAAGCCTGGGGAGGTGTCCAGCCCAGCAACTGCCCGCCCGCTCCTCCCACCTTTGGTTGTCTGACCGCTCGCAAGGCGGCAGACCACCACCCGTACATGACCTCCAACCAAACAGTGACTGAGCCGTGCCTTACGCCTAGCAAGCTGGCAAAGCTACCTCTACCTACCTTGCTATTACGCAAAGGGCCCACTGTAACCGCACCTACCTTTCCTTGCCGATTTGACATCTGCAACTTCTTTTTCCACCTCACTCTCCAACATCCCATCCCGCCTTCCACCTTACCTTCAACACTAGGCACTCGTTGCGATCGACGGCTTGATCTCACCGCCTGCTACTCGCGAGGATTTTACGATCTTGAGTCTGAGCGACACGCACTTTTAACAGGACGACCCGAACATACATTGCTTGGCAAAGCTATTGTCACGGAAGCCCGTGAGGACGACCTGCACCCGGCCTCGCACTTCTGTGCCTTTCTACCCCAAGCTTTCTCGTCATCGCCTGGTCGATTTCTTTTCACGTTTTGACCACACACACCAGACCGTCGACCTCTTCCTCTACACGACTGTATAATACCGTAAAGGGATACCCTCTTTTGCGACGCGTCTGTTCCGTTCGCGCAAACGTCTACGAGATACCCGGCTGCGCTATCTAGACCTTCAAACTCCGACGCGGGCTAGCTAGCAAGGCTGCACATATGAACCTGCGGCCCTGCCGCGCTCGCCCACGATGGGGAAGATAACGAAGCAGATGCAGCCCAAGCATGCCGAGACTTTGGTAAGCCATCTCTCTGCCTGCTCTTCTCTTCTCTTCTCCTTCTTGTTGTACAAATCAGGCCAGTGTCACTAACCATTTTCCTAGTCTCCATGGCTCAAGGACTTTGTCACATCGGCATGCTCCACACCCTTGCCTCTCCTTCCAAACCACCTCCACAAGTTCCCGACAAGATGGCCTTACCCGAGAGGTGATTTATACCACTGGATCCCTCTTCTCAACCGATTCGACGACATCTTGGACTGCTTCTGCACCACCTACAACCTGGAACAGGGCCCCCAAAACCGCGATTTTGGCCGCGATCTGCTCCTCAACCAAGGCGCTAAGACTGAACAATATGGCGACCAGACCTGGGACAATGATGGTCTTGTCGAGTTGGGCTACAATGCAGATGGAGATAGGCAGCTGATCGAGGCTGTCCTCAAGTTCACCCGTATACTCCTGCAGCACTGCGGCAACCGAAGCATCTACTCTAGTAGCATGGTCCTGAACAAGCTGCTCAACACTACAGTTCTGTCGCTTCTTCTTGCAACTCTGCAGGTCAGCGCCGAGTTGGCCCAGCGCTACCAAGCTTCTGTCAAGAGAATAGGAAGCGCCTCCCGCACAGTGAGCACTGCTCTGCTGAGCAATCACTACCAGATCGACCTCGACCGCGTGAACAGCGTCGCTCTGCCCTTCGCCAAGACTCCGATCGTCAGTCTTTCAGACTCGCTGGCTACTGCTACGCCCACGTCGAGTGCCAAGGGCAAGGAAAAGCCTCAGGCCCCGAGCCATAAAAACGCCGCAGCCATGTTTGCCAACGACTTGGGGTCTATTCTTACACCCGACAATGGGCGCTGGAATGGATGGGGAGATATCAAGATCACCTATACCGTGGCGTCGATCGCAAAGGACCACCCTGTCTCAACGGCTCATGATCGCATTGGTTCCAACATGCCCTCTACACCGACCCCTCTGAGGCGCAGCACGACAGCCGGCTCTCAGCATAACACTCCAAGATCCGCTCGTCAGGCCGGCGTTGACGAGGCTTCGCCATTAAGTACACGAAGCCCCATCGTCGCCAATGACCATACCAAGTCGAGTCAGCGAATCTTCGATTTGCCGCAATCAGTCGTTGCCTCCACGCCCATCTACGAGCTCCTTGCACGATGTCCTGCGGATATGCCCGCCTCAGCCAAATATGAGATTCTCAACCGTCTGAGAGTAGCCAAGGCTCTTCTTGGGGGTGCGGAGTCTCGACAGGAAGCGCTTGCCGTCCGTCTACTCGCCATCACAAACCTGGCCTTCATCCATCCGGAGACGACCTTCGTCGAGAAGGTTCTGCGTCATGACAACGACGAAACACGACGCTATCAGTTGGCTTATCAACTGGCGGAACTAATTCACCCGCCGGCCGATGGTTCCATTCAAGTACCGCTGTGGCTTCAGTCAATTGTCTTGGGCCTCCTTGAGGTCATCTCAAACTATGCTGCAAGATACCAAGATGTTTTGTCGGCCCTGAATGCGAATGTCAACCACGGAATTCTCTTATACGTCATCCGAAAGGCTGTCGCAGGGATGAAGACCAGTGAACCCGACCGCGGTATTCATACCACGGAAGTCGACGAGTGGCGTACCAGTCTTTTCTCTTTGACGACTCACCTGGCCATGTCTACTAGAATCGGAGCTGAGATGGTGACGGCCGGACTGATGGATATTCTGGTGGAGATTCTTAAAATCAGGTCGGATGTCGCCCAGCGCAATCAGTCCATGATTCTGGCTTTCCTCGACGGACTGATTTGGACGTATCAGAATGCGTTCCAATCGTTCTTCAGCGGATCCGGTCTTGATGCCATCTCCGAACTCCTTGTCATAACGGTGGCCGAAGCAAAGCAACTTGTGCAAGCTGGAGAGGGCAACACACCTGAACACTATTGCCAGGTTGTTGACTATGAGATACCCTACAATCAACAGCAGACCCTGAAATGGGTTCTCAAGTTTGTCCATCACATGATGACGAACTCTTACACCTATGGCGGAAACACTGATCGACTTCTCCGTAACCTTGTTGACAAATCGGAGCTGTTGGCCAGCTTGCGAGACATCATGCAGAATACTAAGCGCTATGGATCCGTCTTGTGGACGACTACTGTCACGGTGCTCAGCGACTTTATCAACAATGACCCTACAAGCTTCGCTGCCATTTCTGAATCTGGGATCATCGTCGCTTATTTGGAAGCCATCACTGGCCATCCAGTTACCTCTCAGCCCACCATCGCACCTTCGCAGGACGCTGAGGAGCAAACGGCAGACACCGCTGATCCTGGTGACAACAATGGTGAGAACAACACCGATCGAGACAATAGAGACCGCGACGAGGATGACGAAGGCAGCCCTGAATCCTCTAATGCTTCCATTCAAATCGACGCTGATACTCGGCCTCATCCGCCTCCTGAGGAAGAAATTGCCCAATCACATGAGCGTCGCCCTCTGGCCCAGGGCATCTTGCCAACATCCGACGCCATCAATGTTGTCCCACAAGTTCTCAACTCCATTTGCTTGAATAATGCAGGAATGAAGATGGTGGCCTCCTCTCGCGCTCTTGAGTCGTTTCTCGAAATCTTCGAGAGCCCTGCCCACGTCAATACCATGGAAACCGACCCTCATCTCGCTAGCAATGTGGGCGCCAGCTTTGACGAACTCGCCCGGCACCACCCTAACTTGAGGCGTCCGATCTCAAATGCTGTGATCGACATGGTTGCTAGGGTCAGATCCTTCGGTATTTACAAGGCCAAGACTGCTGGCTGGGGCGCGAAACTGTACATCAGCGACGGTTCACAGAACCCTCCTTCAGCGGATGAGAAGTACAAGGACCTGGTACTGCACCCTACCACTGAATTCGGTACAGAAGGCAAAGGAAAGGGGAGGGGCGACAATCTTGACGTCGAAATGTCAGATGCTACGGAAATTACGGCGCAGAAGGGAGCTCTGGGTTCCGATGAGCCGTCCACGTCTGCGACAGCTTACAACGACATAACGCCCTACGTCTATGCCTTGTCAAGCTTCCTCTCAGCTTACCTCAACAACAATACGCTCAAGGCTTACTTCATTACCCATGGAGGGCTTGAGCTACTGCTAGACGTCGCAGAACTGCCCAGTTTGCCGCATGACTTTTGTGACTCCCACGCAGCCCGAACCCTGCACCTGGTCATTTCTCAGCTTGTCGAACAGTCTCCGGTTCTCGGCTTACCCTCCCTACTCAGGCGCGCACAGGCTTCGGTCGATACACTCAAACCTTTGGCTGAGTACAAGAATGACTCTCCCTACTTTCACCCTTTCCTCGGCCTCGACGGCAGAATGACCCTCGATGAAGTACGCAGCCTTGACCCGTCGGTGCAAGAACGCATTTTCAATGGCAACAAAATGGTCAAGGCACTACTTACTGCGCAGTCGCTGATCAAGACGCTCTATGAATGTTTCACCTCTTCACCACGCTCCAACTCAGTTCAGCTGTATCCCATCAACGTCTTTGACTACTATCTCGAATTAGTCAAATCACTGGGGCCGCTTCTGAAGGCTGTGCTGGCAGAAGAGGGTGCTGGGCATAACGTGCTTCCTCAACACTGGTGGGCTAAGCGGCCAGCTCCTGGGAGTGACGTTATGGTTTCCATCACCGGGGCCGCTGGAGTTCAGAGTGTTGGCGAGGGCGAAGGCGAGACCGAGGCGGCATCAGCCCCGGCCGAGCCGTCGGATTCTGCGCCTAGTGCTGCTGTGCCTGCTACAGCTCCTGGCACTCAGCTCAAGACACCAACAAAACAAGAACAAGCGACGTTCCGATACAAAAACTACGAGACCCTTCGCATCCTACTCCACTCAATGGTTCCGTCGACCTTTCCCTTCTTCCAGCAACTTGGCAAAGCTCTCTTCCCAAGACGTGAACGCGATGCTTATTCACGTCCAAAACACATTGATATTGCCAGAGAATTGTCAGGGACGATCCTGGCGCAGCTGGCTCCTTCTGTTGACCCTGCTGAGCCTACAGGCAAGGAGTACCACTACTGGATCATCATGCTTCACACATTGACAGAGATGTTGATGGACAATACTCGAGCATCAGGGGAACGTTCATCGGTCCAGGTCGTCATCCCGGTGCTTGTTGCTTTCCTTGATCAGGGTGGTTTCCAGGTTCTCACGACCATGGTGCGTCGGTTTTCGGCCGAGATCTGCAAAGACGCTGGAGACTCAGACGTAGGGGCCACTGCTAGCGCTCGTGTTGCCTCGTTCGGCCTCGGAAAAATCTTCGAGTTCTTTGCTGCTCTTGTCAACGGTAAGAACATTTCCGACTCGACCGCACAGTTTGGCCTCCTGCCTCGTTCAGCCGAGAGACGCCCAGACACGCCAATATCTCATCAAATTGTTGTTGAAGTGAGAATGGCTGTTCTCCCGGTCATCCGTGAGATTTGGGAGTCAACACTGATCGAGAAGTTGCGACCGGAGGCAGTAGCAAAGGTGATTGAGATCCTCAAGATCATATCTGCGGGTGACCAAGAACCATCTCGGAACACCCCAGCTGTCGAGCTGTTCAAGAAATCGACAGTCTTGTTCAACTGGCAGGCCCATACCCCTCTGATCGGTCTGCTTGAAGAGGATGGGGCGGACGTCGAGTTGGCCCGCGAAGCTGTCTTCAGAGCCAACTGGAACCAACCTTCTGCAACGGAGTACTGCCGTTCTCACAAGGCTGGCAAGGCCGGTCAAAGGAACCCGGTCCCGCCCG